AAGGATAGTAAAAGAGCAGTGTCCCAGAGCAAGGTATGATGTGCAAAGGAAATCTATCACCATCTTGTATTCGATAGTTCATTAGTTTCACTCATTGAACTAAACATTAAGTCAAATACTCAATGAAGACCTGATAAATGTACACCATGAGTCAAATCAGTCATCATGCACTCACTGTTGCCAAATGTCTCTCAAACCATAGATAGCAAGAAGCACAGAGAAAGAATACTTAGTTTATGGGATGAAATTGCTTCATATTTCTAAAAGGTCTTTTCAGATTATGTTTAAGTATAGTTTAATTTTTCTTGGTATAAATTAGATTTTATAACTTAGAGACAATGCAAACTAACAAAGCAAATGAATTAAATTTGTTGAACTGATTTTGAAAAAAATCAATTTTTGTTAAATGGATATAGGTTTTTTAATTCTAAAACTACTATAAAGAAAATTTTATACTCAGATTCTGAAATAAAATTTAATTAATTTGAAAAGTATTTTGATTATTGCAAACTTGGATGAAGACTCCATCATTCATCAAATATTTATTAATAGTATCATATGTCAAGCACATGAAAAGCAACTGTAAGCTACTCTTCCAAGCATTTTAACTATTCCAAACAATTTCATTCATACAACACATTCATGAGATAGATACCAGTAATTTTCCCCACTTCAGAGATAAAGAAATTGAGATACAACCCCATTTCCATAATCAATAAATGGCAAACTCAAGAATAATATAAAGGTACCCTAGAGCCTGTGCTCTGAATCCTTACAGGACTATTCTTGAGGTTTGGGAAGCTGTGGGGGTGCTTAACAGATGGTAATACTTATTTAAAAGTGATCAAAGAAATGTAAACTAAAAATACATTGTGTCAGCTGTAATCCTAGCTACTCAGAAGGCTGAGACCTAGAGGAGCTCATAAAATTTCAAGCCAGCCTGAGCAGAAAAGTCCACAAGATTCCATCTTCAGCTAAACCTGCAAAATGCCAGGCTAGAAATATGGTTCAAGTGGTAGAGCACCATCTGTGAGCAATAAAGCAGAGCGAAAGCTTAAAGCCCTGAATCCAAGCTCCATTATTGACACACACCAAAAACACACAGTGTAACATTCAATGTCAACTTGAAAAAAGTTTTTTTAGTTTATGAAGACATGAAAACATTTTTCATATTGATGCTAAGTATAAACTGGCAAGCTTTGAGAAGTATGAAGAGCCTTAAAAATACCTGTATCCTCTGATCAACAAGTTCATTTCTAAAAACTTGTGCCCCCAAATACATAGATATATAAACAGACATGACTGTAAGAATCTACATCACAAGTTATTTATTGTTATAAAAATTGGTAGGCTAATAATAAATGGTTAAGTAGTTATTGATATTTTAATAGAATACTAGCTACCTACCAAGAGTTAAGGTGAATATTCAATAAAACAGAAAGATGTGCTCTTTATAGAATATTAAATGAAAGGCAGATATACTATATAATCCACTTTAATTGAAAGAGATTGACATGCATACAGAAAAGACCAGAGAGCTAGCTATTCCCTGAGATTCGAATACCATTTCGGTATTTCTGAGTTCTAAAATTTCAAGTAATTAAACTCATTTTCTCCTCCTTTTTTCTTGTATATATTTTCAAATATTTATACATTTAACATCTAACAAGAAGGAAGTCAAATATTTTATTAAGAAAAAAAATGAAATTCCAAGTGACAAGAACAGAGCTAGAGTTCTGCTGTGGGTAATGAAAGAGATCACCAGAGCCTGTTTCTGGGTCAAGTATGAGGGGAAACTTGAAGAAGACGCTGAGTAGAGAAACTGTCTCAACCAAACCAAAGATGATGGCACACAGGTACATGAGCAAGTTCTAATACTCGTTAGACACGTAGTCACATTATTTAATACACCTAGAGTGTTTATCTAATTCCCCCAAAAAGAAGAATATTTCCAGAACACGTGTAATTGATTTTTACTTTTCCTGACAGTTCTCCATCATTTATTTAACTTTTTTCATCCTCTTTCACAAGATTGTGAAATTTCACAAGATTGTCCTTGCCTCTGCAAGGACAGTAGTGACCTCACTGAAGTCTCCACGGCACAGTTTATGTGAGTAACAGCTCCCTAGAAACAGGGATGCTGTGTGACCCTTCCCAGTGCATGGCATTCAGCAGGCAGTCAACCAACACAAGGGGGAGTCTTTAGGTCCAAGCTCCTACTCCCAAGTCCTTTTGTCTTCTTGGGACCTTATGACTTCCTAGTGCTGTTACCTCTTAGAAAATAGATTGTAGTTTCCAAAACAGAATGGACACTTACTTATAGGGGAAAACATTATCTCTGCAATTTATCAAATTCTTTCTTTGAAATCAGATCTGAAGAACTAGAGTGCCCTCACAGAGGATGTAAGAATTCACTCAGAACAGTGACATAGGCTTCAAGGGTCCTTGGTGGAGCCACAGAAGCAGCTATCATAAGATCTACGGTGCATGATGAGTCCATCTCTCACTCCTGTGAGTCTAGAAGGGCTCAGGTTCCAATGGTTTAATCCCTACTGACTGACATTTAGAGGTAGATTTCTACTGAACAGACTGACATGGAGGAGTAATAAATGAGGCTAACATTGTTTTGCATAAAACTATGAAATACTAACTACATTGTAGGGTTTTTTAATTGAAAACTAAAGGACAATTAGGAATACAGTTCTATTCTTTATACCTTCAGACCAAAACTCTGACTGAGGCCAGGCAAGCAATGAATTAAGTGGCAGCATGTGTACTGCACATGGAAATGCATTGGTGAACATTACCCAGCAGAGAGGAGGGTTGCAAGCTGGGGAGATAATATTGCATCCAAAGGGGAAGAGGCTGACTCAGTTCCAGGATCCTGCTGTCATATGGGTACAAGCCCAGTTCTGCAAGTTCTTCTGTGTGTGTGTGTGTGTGTGTGTGTGTGTGTGTGTGTCTGCTTTTCTATTAACTACAGAATTTGAATTATTGGCTCAAAATGTAAAGATAGGCTATGGATATGAGACATTTCATTTAGAAACTACGATGTCTGAAAATATTTGGAGCTCCCTTGGAGCTCTGTGTGTGTGTGTGTGTGTGTGTGTGTGTGCGCACACGCGCGCGCACACACACACACGCATGCACGCACTTGAGAGAGAGAGAGAGAAAGGGAAAGAGAGAGAGACAGAGACTTATTGCTACAATAATTACTATGTGGAAACTAAGAACAAAGAGATAAGTCATACGGTGGGAGGGATTTAAAGCACAGAAGTGAACTAATAGAAAAACACAGCAGGATATCTAGTTAAGGGAAGTTGACCAACAGGATTTGCCAAGCACATTAAATTATGCCTGAATTTGCAAATATTTTTCTGTGATTACACCATTTGTGTTTGCTAATTGGTGCTTATCAAAGTTAGGCTGCTACCTCCCACAGAAATTGGGAGATATGGTGCTTTCTTCTTTGATACTTAAATATCCAAAGGATTGTTCCCAGGTTTTCAAAGAAGAGAAGACATTTCTGGGTCATAAAATCAGCCAAAAGTTTTGAGAAGAAAAAAAAATAAATTTACATCTCAGAGGAAATGAAGAAGGCATGTACAATTCCAAATTTCTAAAATAAATGCTCTAAGAAAAAGGGAGGTCAGAAGCCTAACAATAGGAAGAAGTCTCCAAAGTTCAGTCAAGCTGAGGAAATGTTAAGATTGTCTCAGTCATAAAGTAGGGTCAATCTCAATAAATTCTCCAAACTTTATATCAGTAGGCCAGTTTTAAAGAGATACAAATTCTGGACATTTTCAACCTAAGTGACAGCTGAAAATGTCCAAAATTGATGTTTCTTGAGAATTTGAAGTAATACACCAGGAAGCCCTAGTCTGGCAGTAATGGAAGCCTGGTAGAAACTGTATTCATTTGAGAACATGGAGGAGCCTCCATGCTGCCCTGTTTTCTCTGCCACCTCTTCTACACCAGGGTGTCTGACTGCCTTGGTCTCTGCTGACAGGCGCTTATAAACACACCAGTATCACTGACAGTTCTGCAACCTTGGACAATTTATTTGACCACCTTGAACTTTTGTTTCTTTGCCTGCAAATAGGACCAATAAACATACCAAATGACATGATACAAGAAATAAACTTATCTATGGATACCACCCAGCACAGTGCCTGCCATAGATTAATCACTCAGTATCTGATGGCTACAGCTAGTTGTTGTTAGGAAACTAGTTTCAGCTGTTTTTCACCTGTGCTATATCACTCGTACAGAATAAGGAAAATATCATGACATCAGTGTCAACAAAATACATGGAGAAGTAAAAGAAAAGTAACTTAAAAAAGAGTTAAGGCTTCAATCTATCAGAACAGAAGAAACTAGCCATGAGGCAGTAACTACTTTTCAGAAGCCGTATGCCTTATCCCCCCAATTTCCCCCAATTTCTTGCCAATTTTCTTTATTCCTGTCCCTTCCAATTAAAGGATCTTCCCACGTGGACCTTACATCTTCAGGGTATTTACTTAACCCAAGAATGCAAGGCACGTTTACTAATTAGGATCCTTGCAATGTACTTTCTTTCTTGTAGAATTTTAATCACTCCCCCACCCTCCCCAAAATGCTCATATAGGAGCTTATTGGCTTTTCAGAAAATCCTATGCAAATTCTCCCCCCCAAAGGTTTTGCTTTGTTTGTGTCTTAGTAATTCTGTTCTTAGAACTATGCTATGTTCGGAGTGTCTCCACAGAAGTGGTCTGTTTTATCATCCAATGAGCTCTGCCTCCTTGTGGATGTGACACTCCAGTGGAAGGAAGCCAGGAGCCTATAGTAGCAATCCTGGGGAAACTTCAAGCAGCTGGGGTCATGTAATTTAAAACCTCTGAAAAGTGTGCTGTGGTGCTGTGGTCTGTGCACAGCACTAGTGCAACATGAGGACTGGTTGCAGCTGGCTCTCCAGAGGACGCGACTGCCTACTGAAGGAGGGAGAAGACTGAGAGGCAAACCTGGGTGCAGCCCGAAAGGTCCAGATAGATGAGCTTGTGGCATCCATTCCCTAAGTTCAGGTACCGTAAACCTTTGTCTGTGAACTTGCGGCAATAAGCCAAGCTGAGATTCTGTAAGTTTTGGAAGTTCCTGAAAAGACAGGGCGAGAGAAGAGAAGAAGGAAAATGAATACACTTCAGCTTTTCTCACATCTTTCTTCAGCCACTACAATACAGAGAACTAAAACGGTACATTAATCTTGTCTCCTCACAATCTCAAGAGTTTAACTTCATTGTTAACTCTCATGTCGATCCTTAAAGGAGACTTTACTAAATTATTAGAGAATGCATAATTACATATGAAGAGGAAAAAAGTAAAGAACATTGGCTAGACACTTTGAAAAGATGACCGGGATAAAGCTTTTCTGGTTTTGCATTTTACTTTTTGGCAGGGGTTGGGGTTTGCATGCATATTGTTTGGAAGTTAGTTTTTGAAACCGAAGTTGTTTACTTTATTGTTGTGTTTAGGTTTTATCTTTGGAACAGTAAACTAATGTGCAAAATGTTGAAAAAGACCTTCTGTAAGCACTTAATTGGATATTAACTGTCTCATGAGCATAAGGATTTAGAATTAAAAGAAGGGAAAATTGAACAGAACAGGCTCCTAACATGGTTCAGATAAACAAATAGTTTATTGAGCCAAAATTTAAACATGTACGATTTTGTAAGTAATGACTTCATTATTGTAGTAAAGATTTAAAAAAAAAACCACTGGTGCACAATGCTTAACATGGCTCAGAGGAACCATTTAAAATGAGTGAGCTACCTAGCGGAACAAAACTCCATAGAGGCTATCAATCTCACTGGAGTTAACACAGATGAAATATGGCACTACCACAATGACAAAAGTGAGAACGTCTAGGAAAAAAGTGGGGGAATTAGGGTGTGTCTATGCTATTGTGCAAGGGCTGGCATTTGGAGAATACAAGCCCTCCTAAGACTAGTTTATTTAAAAAGTGCAAAGACTCCCTACTACCGCCCACTCTGGTAATGGAATTAACAACAAGTTCTTGGTTTGTGATTTGCAATAGCTTAACAGCAAATGAGAAAACAAGAAGAATAAGAAGTGGGGAGAGGGTGTTTCTCTTCCTCTTAAATTGCAGAAATTAAGTTTAATACGGTTTACCTCCACATAAGTGGGAAATAAGATATGCAAGCATTGACCATCATTAATCAGATGTGAGCAATGTGTCTATGGTTCCAGTTCCACATTCAGAGCATTCATTTAGATTCAGAGCATACATTCCCTTTCCTGGGAATAGCTGTGTACAGGAGATTGCACACCAGATAGAGAAGCCTTAGATGGTAGTGGGAGTTGGGACAGGCAGGGCTGGGAAGGAGGCACAGATCTCACATCCCCAAAACATGCCCCTCTCCCACATAGACCAACTATAATATGAACAGAATGTACCCGTGACTTATGTGGAAAAGTGGCTACTACGACTTCTAATTTTCACCTAGATGTGTCAGAGCTTAGCAAAAATAGAATTCTTTCCCCTCCAAAGAGCTCCCCAGTGGATTGAGTTTTGGAGGTTTGGGAAATCCTTTCTCTTCCTCTCTCCTTTGAGTTTACCCCAGGATTCAACAGTGTGAAGAATAATTTTCTTGGGCTATGATTGTCATTTGTTTGGAGAAAGTAGAAATAAGGTAGGCAGCACAATACAATGGAAAATATACAAGGTTTTGGAATCTGACCAAATTGGATTCACATTCTGACACTGCAGCTTCCCTTAAGTTTTATAGATGGTTTCCCCAGATGTTAAGTGGAGATAACAATATCATCATTTTCTTTTAACCCTAACCAGTGGAGAGACTTCCAGCTTTCCTAACCCTCAGTTCTCTCATTTGTCACATGGATGTAGTACACATAATCATAGCATTATTTTGAGGGAGATTTTTTACCAGTAAAATTAGCGGGAAGTTTAAGAAGTTTAAGAACATACACATTATTATTATAATTGCTAGTATTATCCCAGATAATCACAACACATTGCTTCTAGGGAGTTTGTTGTCTTCTTCTGTTTAATGGATTGGATACTTTTTGACAAGAGTGCTACATACGAATGATTTCAAGAGTTTGGGAGACATCACATTGAGTCTATACCCTGACCTAAATCTATCATTCCATTTCTTTAAATCCACATGATGAGTGGATAAATACCACAAGGGAAATTGATTAAGAGGCTTGAACTTTTCTTTTTTAATATCATCACTTCTGTGGTGAAGTCTAGAGATATTTTCTTAGCATAATGTTTTTTGTTAACATATGGTTTTTAAATGCATACAATAAAATAATTACAAAGGTAGCTGATTATACTGAAATATATAATCAGCTTATTATTATACTTACTATATTCTAAAATACTTATTATACTCTGATGGGAAGTAATGACAATTATTAATGATATTTTAAATATACAGTACAACTATAATGTGATAAGAATGTATTTGTGTTGGGGGCTGGGAAGGTGGCTCAGTGGTAGAGCACTTGCCTTGCATGCCTGAGGCCCTGGGTTCGATTCCTCAGCCCCACATAAGCAAAAAGAAAAAAGCCGGAAGTGGCGCTGTGGCTCAAGTGGTAGAGCGCTAGCCTTGAGCTGAAGAGCTGAGGGACAGCGCCCAGGCCCAGAGTTCAGGCCCCACAACTGGACCCCCCAAAAAAAAAAAGAATGTATTTGTGACTTATACATTTCACCCACATACTTAGTTGTGGGTGAAAAGATCTTAAGAGCTGCTAGTATTATCCTGATAAATAACCATATTCCAAGCTAGAGTTTAGTGAAAATAGAGGATTTTTTTCTCATCAAAATGCATGGATCTGGGCTGGGAAATTGCTCAGTGGAAGAGTGCTTGCTTTGCATGCATGAGGCTCTGGGTTCAATTCCTCCTCACCACATAAGGAGAAAAAGCCGGAAGTGGTACTATGGCTCAAGTGGTAGAGTGCTAGCCTTGAGCTGAAGAGCTGAGGGACAGCGCCCAGGCCCAGAGTTCAGCCTCATGACAGCCAAAAAAAAAAAGCATAGATCCCCTGAATTACATCCCTAGTCCTGATAGAGAATCTATTGGAAACAGGTTAAGAGCCTCTGGTTGTTTATTAGACTAAATGACTCCTGCATTGAGCTCTGGATGCTCCCTTCAAAGTAGAATCTTGTGGGAAATAATCTTGAGTTTGAAACAAAGCACAGGAAATCCTGAGTGAACTTTTAGGCCTTTCTAGGGATGTATGGTAGAACAAACTTAAAGCTGCTTGAGTTTGGAAAAATATCAGTTAACAATGAAATCACACTTGGAAATTTTATATAATACTGATTCTTATAACATCTGGCAAATAAATGTTTCTTACATGAGTAAGATCTGGTTCATCATTTCCCAGCACAGAGACCTCTTGATAATTCTAATTCCACTTCGAGGCAACGTGTTTATATTTATCTATTCTTAATTATTTGGTAACTTACTGAGGGATGAGTTCTCTATATTTATTTCTCTGCTACTACTATAATCTTAAAGAAATTATAATCCTTGTAGAAACCACAGAGATTTTTGTCCCTTTATTTTGGCTTTGTTTCCATTGGAGAATTGAGGTATTCTGGGTTTGATCTCTATAGTAACCCCTCTTAAAAATCATCAAGACAGCCAGGCATGGGCTCACTTTTAATCCTAGCTATTCAGGAGGCTGAAGATCTGAGGCTAGCCAGGGCAAGGAAGTCTATGAGACTCTTATATGCAATAGACTACTAAAATAAATAAATAAATAAGCAGGAAGTGGAGCTATGACTCAAGTGGTAGAGTGCTAGCCTTATGCTAAAGAAGCTCAGAACAGTGTCCAAACCCTGAATTCAGGCCTCTGGACTTGGAGGGGAGGAGAAGAAATCACCAAAACAAAGCAAAGTCTGTTGAAAAAGGCAGGGGGGATTTGCATGTACATTCTTTTGAGTTGAGTATTTGGCTCTTCAGTTTAAAGATAAAGTTTCAAGAAGTACGATTCTGCAGAAAATCTAAACAGAGTGAAGTGGTCTCATTTGCAGGGTGAACTTGAGATTTCTCATTGAACAAAACAGCTGTTTCAAAATAAGCTACACCATCTGCCCAATTTGATGGACACTAGAGGATTGTGCGACGTGATAGTGCCTGATAATAATTTCCAAACCACCTTAGAGTCAATTCAACCATATGAAAAATAATTAGACACTAATGCACTACAGTAAATTAGGCTCCATTAAAGAATAAGAATCAAGTTGGACACAGTGGTGCAGGCTACAGTTTCCCCTACTCAGGAAGCTAGGTAGGAGGATCTGGCGAGCTCGGCAATTGAAGCACCAGCACAGGCAACATGCCAAGATCCTCTCTTTAAAAAAAAAAAAAGGATCATAATAATTTTATTTCCAACTCTATGTACAGAAGATCTCAAATAATACATTTGAGCAAAACACGGTGAACACAAAAATGAATATTGCTGTTAAAAGCAGAGAAAGGAGATATCTCCCTGACTTCTGGCAGACCATAGGATTTGAAGCATGAATGGTTTGGGATTGCAGAAAGACCTACTAGTTGCAGAGATGCCAAGTATGTAGCGAATAGATAACCTTGGTGTAAGAGCTTCTCTTGGGAAACCTTGCCGGGTAGGGACACTACAGGAAGACTAGAAACAGTAAGAAGATAGTTCCAGGCTGATGCTTCTTGTGGCTTGAAGCAGAGCAGTTGAAGGGAAGAAAGACCAGAGGCAGAACTGGCAGGATGTTGTGCCACATAAGGAACCGATAGTGTCACCTAGTTGGTGGCACAGAAATAACTAGAAAGTGTTTACATTCAGGTAATAATTTTCTGGAGTGGGCGTGAGCTGTGGGCAGCCCTCCTTTGCAGTTTTAGGACATTGACCAGCCCCCGAAGAAGAAGAAAAAACCTTCCAATAAAAAGATGTCAAGGGGGTAACAATGCTTGATAGGAAATATATACATTACCTTCCTCATATAACTGTAACCCCTCTGTATCTTTACAATAAAATATATTTTTTAATTAAGCTGTCAAATTAATGTTGCCAAGAAGGGCAAACAAATTACATTTTTCTTCTGGCAGCTGATTGCTTTGGAAAGA